TTGATGAATTATGAAGCATTTTTCGTGGGTTGGCTTAGAACGAAGACTTTAATAATGTTATCATAGAAAGTGATTCTTCAAGTGCGATTATTGTGCTCACTTCGGATAGTGAAACAGTCTGTGAGCTTCAACTTGTTGCTCGTATGTAGACATGGATTAGAAAAAATTGGCAGGTTCATTTGCAACATACATACAGAGAAGGAAATATGTGCACAAATTGGTTGGCAAACCACATTCTTAATGTCAATGATCTTGCGGACTAGATGGTATTTGTGGAATCTCTGAGTGGTATACTATTGTTATATCAGGCTGATCTTGCCTCTGTAGGGGGGAGCAAGTCATTGGTATTTGTTAATTAGTTTTTTTTTCCTTTTTGTTTGGGCCTTAACTGTCGTTTACCAAAAAAAAAAAAAATTACAAAGTTTTGAGTCACGTGAGAGTTTTTGTAATAGATTTGTAGTTGAAGGGTTCTTTCTGTTTAAGCATAATATAAATTGTTATTTATTAGCTTAATCTATATAAGTTATATTACATGTAAAAGTCTATGGAAGAATTTTTTAGGATGAGACTAATTTTATCATTGCATAGGCCAACAAAATGGTTTAAGTTTACTTATCGCCTTAATTTACTTTTCCTTTTTAATCTTGATTTTGACCTATGAATAGGATAATAGAATTAGTGAATGCAAACAACCATGCTTAGAGGTGGATCATATGTACCAAGATCATTAGTGCATTTACGAGATAATGCAAGAGACAATTTCATCTCTCCTCAGTTGTGGATTGTGGTTAGAAATTATCTCTTGCATTATCTCACTTATGATCTTAGTACACAAAATCCATCTCTAAGCATGGATGTTGTACATTCACTAATTTTATTCACGTATTCATGTCAAAATCAAGAATAAAAAGGTAAATTAAACTAAGGTGGTAAGTAAACTTAAGCCATTTTGTTGGCCTATGTAATGATAAAATTACCCTCACCCTTGAGAAGTTCTTCCGTAGTGAGATGATTCAACTCCCGAGTATCTTCACAAGATTCAACTATTTGAGTCAATTATAGAACTAATCTTGAGTCGGGACTTATTCTCCAAAGATGTACTTAGTGAAAATTGAATCAAAATTCTCTCCTCACCTACTCAGCTTGTGTTGCTAATTGAGTTACACTCATTGGATGAAAATAGCATGATTTAATTAAGAAAATCACATACTTACATGAAAATAAAATAACTGTACTTAACGAGTAGGGAGAACTTTTTCCAGAATAAAATATTTTTGGCTTAATTATTTTATTTTATTTTTCAATTCACGAAACCAGAAGGTAAAAGAGGTAATATGATACTACAATTAATATGATATTAGAATAAAGAATATCAACCAACCAAACATTAAGTTTTAATAAATGATAAAACAAAGGGATAGGATATTGTGACACACAAATAACGTTACGCACAATGTTACGACCACATCTTAACCGTTGATTTCCGCCAATCAACGGTTATCATTTTTCAAATCAAACTCATTAATTAATTATTAATTCGCAATAAATGATAACCGTTGATTGACGGAAATCAACGGTTAAGATGTGGTCGTAACGTTGTGCGTAACATCTATCCCTAAAACAAAGGGATAGGATATTGTGACACACAAATAATGTTACAGTTTCTCATCCCAAAACATCTTTGTTATTTCAATATTTTCAGTTGTTCACATGTAGAGTGTAATTTATGCCTTTCTTCGATGGTCATACCGGAATTCCTGGATGACTGCAAACCAATATATAAGGTTATTATGATTTAAGAAAAATTAAATACGTTGCAAAGCAATAAGTATTCATGCAGTTATGTAACATTTAAAAACACAAACTGCAATATATAATGTTCATCAAAGTTTAATCTACCTGTAACAAATGTATTTCCTGTATAATGTAATCAATGTCTTCTTTGAATTTAACCATAATCTTTCGCAATTTTTTATCCTTGTGCATCGCAATAAGTACAGAAGCTACAACATCCACCTTAATCAAGCAGTTGCTTGTGCTTTGAAGCTATTGTTATATTGAAAGAAGTATTAGCTAAATCCACCTTAATATTTTTAGTTTTGTTACAAGTTCAATTTCAACCTGTATACCATTATTTTTCCTTTAGAATTGTTTGAACTATTAGCTAAATCTAACTCCTTTAGAAGTGCTCATGGGATTGTCACTTTCTCCAATTCTCTCCCACTCAGAAAACCAGCATTAGCATTGCAATACTAATATATTTTAACATCATACCCTCATTTACTTCCTTCTTAGCTTGCACTTTTTGTTGAACACTAATATTCCCCTAACTCAAAAGACTCACTTTTCTGTGTAGTAACCTATGATGAGCATGAAAACCAGTAACAGGAAAATGAGAAAGGATTTTATGTGCCACTCTCAGACTTCAACAGCTGTGTGCATGACTACCCGTGATCCTCAATCTGTAATTGATCCTAGGAAGCTTGACAGAAGTGTTTTTGTTGATGATACCAGATTGATCAACTATGCTAAGTACTCCAAACTTGTTGAGTTTCCCAAGTCCAATGCAGTTCCAAATATTAATAATAGAGGGCAGGATCAAGATCAAGTGAATGGATCAAGGGAACTTCAGAAAACACCAACAGATTGCATGTCTTTCAGGTTTGTTAAGTTCACATATTCTCCTGCACTATGTGAGTTGCAATCATGCAAATGTCATTTTGTGGAGTTTCATAAATTGCACTCCTTATTCTTTTCTGTTTCCACAACACCACATAGTAGTGGTTCAAAATTTTCAATTTAAGATAATGATGAAAGTGACTTCTTTCTGTGACACAGCTACATTTATATGATTATCAAGAAAGAAATCAAATTTGTATGTCAAAATTAAAAGCAGGACCATAAAAATGAAGAAGCTATGAAATGGAAATGGAGTTTGGATTCTAGACTGGTTAGCCATAAATGCTGTTATTGTTGGTTTTTTCTGATACAATTGCTATAAGGTCAACAAAAGTCTATAGAGACTATTCCATTTTCCCTATAATTGATTATTTGTTAGATGATGAACAGTGGCTAGGACTATACCACCAGTAGTGTCATAGGTGGTTCCTACAAGGAAACAAATGATCTCTATTATTTGTCCTCTTATTTTTGTCATTTGCCGAGGTTTTAAGATTTTTCACGTGCATTTTCCATAGAGATAGCAGAATGATTGTGTACTTTTTATGCAAATGGGCGTTTTATTAGGCAATACAAATGGCATTATTACAGACCATGATGCCATTTGGTTTTGTCCCTTGTACATGAATTTTTATTTTTTTTCTCCTTTCTAGTTTTCCACCAAGGAAGGTACGTGTCTTACAGTCATATGGTCACATTGCATATTTTCAATTGTCTTTGGAATAATGGAATCTTATATTCGTAATCTGTAATAATATATATATATGTGTGTGTGTGCGCGTGTCTGCGCGTGTGTGTGTGCTCTAAGAACAGTGGATGGATGTCAACATATAATAGTTAACATTGGTCCATTTACTTTTTTAAGTAGCAGCTTTTATACCCCATTTAAGTAGATTTAGGATTAAGTCAAATGACTTGAAGTTATACATGAGTTTCTAACTCTCTTTTTTTGGAGTAAAGGTTATAACGTTTTAAAACCTACAATATCAGTAGTTACATCCTTCAGTATAGATGCAGAGGCTAAAAGGGTGATAGTGATGGGGCACATTTCTCCTATGGCAGTCCTTGAGAGCATTTCAAAGGTGAAAAGTGCAGAATTCTGAACTGCTTGTTAAAGCACTTCAGGTTCCCTTAAATTGGCAGCAAAGGAGATGCAGAGCCAGAGTCAAAAATATTGAAAAATTGCCTTTGCCTTTTCATTTGTTAACAACTTCATATGGTTGTGGACCTGGTGCTCCAAGTAGATACCGACAACACACAGTATTTAAACTTGTTTGTAAAAGGAACATAGTACATTGTATTTTATTTTGTTGAGCTTAAGCATAAAATGTTAATGCTTAGTAAGCCTCCAGCTCTAGGTGTATTGGGAATGCCATTATACAAAATTTTGTAAAGCTGAGCTATAATTTTACTAGTATGTTGGAAGATTTATCATTTTTAGATAGTGTGTTGGGAATGGAGGGCATATTGTTTTGATCTTTCATTGAGGGGAATTCTTTCCCCCCTCTCAAATACCATGGTGGGAGATGCGTTAATTTGATCTTCAGTATCAATTTTTTCCCTCCTCGTTATTTATTGTGGGGGAGGGATGCGTTAGTTTGATCTTCATTGATTTGAATTCTTTCGCTTCTTTCAAACCTCTCAATCAGAGAACGTGTCCTCCCAACTTTATATAAATAATAAGCCAAGGTATACATATCGTCTTTGTTTGAATGACCTTATACATGGCAGGTCAGCTCTTGTAGATTTCATCTGTCGAAACTTGGCCAACAATTTATCCATTATTTTTCAAAAGGAAATGAAAGATAGAAATCAGAGGCATACTTCTTTGCAGAAAATTTCAGTAACATCTTGACAGATTCAAGAAGCCAGGTTCAAATGTAAATATTTTAGATTATAATGAATGGGTGAGAAACGAAATATGATTAGAACTTAGCCTTTTTAAAAGGGTTAAGGCATCATGCGGCATCAACTAAAAATATTGGCAGAGATAAAAGGGAAAAACAGTTATTCAACTAATGAGAAGTCAAATAGTTGATAACAGCGGAACATGATAATGTATAGGCCTTAAAATCTCGTTACACAATGTTTCGATTGTTTAGTTTGTCTCATATATGTCAAATACAATAATCACTTGTGCTCATATCTTTAAGCAGACATGTCATATCTATTCACCAAGGACAACATTGTTAATTTATAGAATTTCAGCATTGGTATGAAGCTTGCAAAAATACAGTGTACTCTTCGACAGTACCCTTCAAAATGGACATACAGACAGAGACAAGAAAATAAAAGCAGGCTTGAACAACAACATGCTAATTAATTAATCAAACAAAATATATAGAATCCATTACAAATGGCATCATATCAGACGTCCTTTAATCTCCAATGTGGTAAAAAAAAAAAAAAAAAGAGATCATAAGATACTACTTGTCAAAAACAAAAAGGCCTAATGACTTGTTGACATAGAACACAAAATTAATTCATCAGAGAAAATCAGCAACATTTGGTGGAAGCTCCTGTACATTCACATTGTAGAACTTCTGAATATCAGACAACATTCTAGCATCATCCAGTAATTTTTTTGAAGGTTGAATGATGTGTTCCTGTCTTCTGGAAGCTATCAGCAGGGATAGATGGTTCTAGATAGAGGCACCCATATGAACTTTGGCCATGATGTTTATCTTTTGCACTAGTGACTATGGTTGATCAACTACCACCAAAATAGAGTACACAAGTAAAATATTAGTGAGCTTTTCAAACTCTCATTTGACTAGTCTAACCGAAAGAGGTAAAAATCAGTAAAGTCTCCTGGTCCTTGTTATTTAGTCAAGTATAATAGAGTTTATTTTTAAAGTAGTTTAATTCCACCAAACTTCTTTCCTAAGGTTCCTTTATATCTACAAGCTATGTGAGTTGTGGGAAGCAAGAGGCCAGAACTTAAGCTCCTCCCTCCTTATGAGAGTCCACGGCTAGAAATGGCTAGAATTTACTCTCAACAATAAAATAGGGGATTCAAATTGCAAACCCCCAATTCAACTTGCCTGTGGGTGGAAAAAGGGTCATCAACCAAATTCGTAGCAGGAATTGGTGCATGTTCCTGACCTCCAGTGATATCCTCACATACCAACCTAACTCCTAAGCAAAGTATAAAGAGATGTTAGCCTAATATAACTGGGATAAAGCATATTAAATATTCAATTTACATAAGTTTCTTCTTTGATTACCCTCATATTTCTGCAGCTGACTGAGGTATGCCTCCAGGAGTGAAAGAAACCTGTCATCGCAACAAAATAAGCTAAGATCCCTTAAAGCCCCATTGCTTGGCCTGCAAAATAACCCAAAAGGAAACAGATGAAATATGACTATCTATATGAATCTAGATAAAGAGAATTACAACAAAAAAGATCATGACTATACACAGCTCTACAACTAGTCATTTGAATACCTACAAAACGAACATTATACTGGGGAAAGTAAGAAAACTTATCTTTGATTAAAAAAAATCATGGGACACAGCACACATATAACATAGGAAAAAGCTAAATGCTAGTGGGTTACTAGCCGTCATATATCGATCTCACTGCTCTTTCTTTCTCTTTCTTTAAAAATTGCTACAATGAACTTTGTAGCATTTTCTTTGTATATAACTAAAGTATAGGAAATCACAAGAGTTGGCAAGAATACATGTTAAGTAAATAAATACTGTTACATATTTGTGTGTTCTAGTTAATTTTGTAGTTCAGTTAGATTACTTATTCTTTTATACTTGTATTAGAGCTATATAAATATGAACTTGTAGAATTTATCTCTTTGATAAAACTAGAACAGCCTTGACAGATCGGTCAGGGCATTTTCATGCTCAAACTCTTTGGGTTTATCTCATCTCTATTAACCAAACCCATTCTTAGACCTTCACTGAACAACTAAGGCTTTTAGGTTTATTACTATTTGTGTATCACCAAAAACTTTTTGTAAGGTAAATACTTCCCTATGGAATACTCATTTAGCAGCTCTTGGTTGGTGAGCCACTGTGTGTGACCCTCTACTTTGAGGCAGTTTTAAAGTTTCGTTATGAATGTTTTGATGAAAACAAGAAAGTTGAAATCTTGTGGCAGCATGCAGTTCTATATTGAAATTCAATAGAGGAGAACACTTACATTTTCAAGTTTCCCCTTTTCCCCTTTACTCTTAAACTTGTTATTCATGGGATAGGATTTCGTTTATGGCTGCTTTAGGTGCTATTCCCATAAGGCCATAACTATTTCCATTTCCAATTTACAGAGTGAGGGACTGGCTTTTTTGTTGTATCTGGACTCCATTTTTCTTCTAGAAGCACCTTGTTGCCAAGGCCAACTCAAGGCTCAAGGGGGAATCAGTCCTAAACCAGAAGTTTATGGCTAAACCCTATTTACATCTTTCTACCCCCAAAACCTCCCCAAAAAAAGAATCAATATCTAAACAAGCAAATGGGTAAGAATTAAAGTGTTATAAACCCAATCTAATAAATCAAATAGCAACAAAAAAATAAGGATGGGCCGTTGCTTTTCCGACAGTTAAGCCATTACGTTCACATGTTTAAACCAGAATTCAACATCCCCACTATTCCACTTTGAAAACATAACAAGTCACTAGGTCACAACTACATTACTGTAGGTCAATCCTGAGGAATGTATCATAGCCATACAAATATACCCTAACATACTGAATTAAAAAACGATAATAAAGAAAAGAGAACTCCAAGTCTCCATTGGTACGATGTTGACTTGGTTTCTCAGTGCTCCCACGCTCCGCAATAGGATTCCGTCTCTGTCTAATTCTTTGGATTGACGAATTGGTGTCTTTCCTTGACCCTCAGCTCCTTATTTATAACCATTGAAGCGATATCTTTTTTAATTATCCATCCAATCTCCCATGAATCTCTATCAATTAATAAATCAAGGTTGATTTGTTTCCGCTTTCATTCAAAATATTACAAATCTGTATCAATTAGCAAATCAAGGCTTATTTGATGTACTTATTAGAATTAATTATAAAACTGAATAAAAGATACATACAACAAATTTACATTTAACATAAAAATATAGATTAAATGAAAAAATATTTAGATTTATAAAAATAGCTGTAGAGATGATAAAAAATAATTAAATTTGAAATTTCATTGAAAAAATAAAAAATGACATATTTATACTTTAAAATATAAATAAAAAATAATTAAAAAATCCCAAAAAAGAAAAAAAATTGTACAGGTATTTTCTTCAGTAAATATTTAACTTAAATATTTAAAATATATATGTATAAAAGATTTTAAAAAATATATAAAAATTATAAATTAAAAGAGAAAAAAATAATTCTTTTTAAAAATATTTAAATTTAAATAAAACAATTAAAAATGGCATCTATCATTCTATAAAAAACAAATTATAAGAATGTAAATTTTAATTTAATATAGAAAAGTAAAGGGGAATATTACTCTCATGTTACATGCGAGTAGTTCTCTCATGTGACAGAGAGAATCCAAGTAGGGCCCACCATTTAAAAGCAAAAAAGAAAAAAGAAAAAAGAGGGGGTACAATTTTCGAAGTGAGAGAAAATGAGATAACTATCTCATGTAAAATAAGAGTAGTATTTCTAAAAAATAAATTAAACTTTCATTCTTTTTGACGAAAGAGAGTAATTAACACAACTTTTGATGTCGTGAATAAATAACTAGAAGCTATCACTTAATGAATTTGCGTTGTCTTCTATGCATGTTTCCCACTTTTTTCTGTATTGAAAAATTGTTAAACCTATTAATAATATTTATTATTATGTCTATTGGGTGTAAAAATATTTAATATTTTAAATTTGAATTTTGTACTTGATAGGTGAAAAAAGTGTTCAGCATTTAATATTTACCACTATTTTCTGTATGGAAAATTGTTAGGCATATTAACAATATTTATTATTATTTGACAGTGGGCTTAATTATTCTACCTATTAGGATTGATTATATAGCTGGAAAAAAATATATAATAAATTTATATTTAATATAAAATTATAGATTAAAATAAAAAATATTTAAAATTGTAAAAATATATGTATAGTTGATAAAAATAATAATTTAAATTTGAAATTTAATTGAAAAAATAAGAAATGACATATGTATACTTTAAAAGAAAATAAATTACACATTGAACTTAAAACAAGAATACGAAAAGAGAAAAAAAATTGTACACGTATTTTTTTAAATAAATATTAACATAAACGTTTTAAATATATACATGTATAACCAATTTAAAAAATATAAAAATTTTAAATAAAAAGAGAAAAAGTAACTTCTTAAAAAATATGTATAATTAAAGAAAAAAATTTTAAATTTTATATTTTAAATTTAAAAAAAATTGACATTAATCATTATGTAAAAAAACAAATAATAAAAGTTTAATCATTATAAAAATTTAAATTTAAGTTTAATATATAAGAAAGAAATTAAATGTTATCCACAAAGAAATATAAATTGACATTTATCGTCATTTGAATGCATACCATCTAAGTCTATCATATAAATGTTATCTATTCTATGATCAAGAAACTTAACTTGCCCATCAATTAGACTTTTGATTTTACAAGAGGTCGAGTCAAAAATAACTCTATAATTTTTATCACATAATTGACTAATGCTAAGCAAGTTATGTCTAAGGCCCTCAGCAAGTTATGTCTAAGGCCCTCACCAAGTATCTTTCATTTGTTGTTATCTCCATAGAAAACATGTACATGCTCTTTCTTTGTGAATGATTGGAATTTAGTTACATCTCCCGTAATGTGACTTGAGCAACCATTATCCAAGTACCACTTGGAACTTTTAGCCTTCAAGCAAACCTACATCACAAAGTCAAGATTTAATCTTTGGTACCCATACTTTGTTGGATCCTTGTGTGTTAGTCTTGGGCTTAGTTCCCTTAGGAACCCACACTTTCTTTTGCCCAATAATACCATTCTTTCTAACTTTACATGTGGAAGCACTATGACTTTTTCCACCACAATGAAAACATTTAATGAATGGCTATTTGTCATGTAGGATGGAGAAATGGAAAAGTTTTTATATGATTTTTCTTGTGTGCTAATGTCAAAGCCTAAACCGGATTTGTTGAACATGCATCTTTGTTTACCAAGCAACACATTTAAGTTATCTCTTTCACATGTGAATTTGCTTAGAATTTCATTTAAATCATCAATTTCATTGTTTAGATCTTCACTTGATGTACATGATGATGAAGATGCATGCTCATTTGAAGATAGGCATTTGATACAACTAGTGCTAGCATCAAGTAATTTGAGAGTTTCATTTTCATCTTTCAAATCTTTTACTTCCTTTTCTAAAGATGCAGTTTGTTTTTGCCAAAGAAATAATAGTTTTTCTTAATGTGCCAAGAGTCTTAACATATTTCTTCATGTGAAACAGACAAATATAAGAACAACGCTTCGTCTGGTTCCGGCTTGCTAAGAATTGGCGGCGAAGCCAATATTTCCTTGAAACGCTGAAACGCTGCTTCACACTCCTCCGTCCATACAAAATTACATCCTTTTTTTAAGAGTTGAAACAACGGCAACGACACATGTGCTGACTTAGCCAAAAATCTGGACAACACTGTTACTCGCACGTTCAACTTCTGGACTTCTCGAATATTCGCTGGGCTCTTCATTTCCATCACTGCTCTACATTTATCCGGGTTGGCTTCGATTCCCTTTTCTGTCTAGAGGAAACCCAAAAACTTTTCGACTGGAACTCCGAAAGCACACTTATTTGGATTAAAACGCATATTGTGCTTCCTAACTTGCTCGAACACTTCTTGCAAGTCTTCTAAATGGGTCTTACCATCTCCCGACTTCATGATCATATCATCCATGTACACCTCCAATATTCTACCCATCTTCTCCTTAAACACTTTGTTCATCATTCTCATATAAGTTGCTCTTGCGTTTTTTAATCCAAACGGCATTACATTGTAACAATACACTGCATTCTCAGTTATGAACGCTGTCTTTTCCTGATCTTCCTTCCATAATGGTATCTGATTATACCCGGAATATGCATCCATAAACGACAACACTTTGTACCCAGATGCGCTGTCCACCAAATGATCAATACTTGGTAATGGAAAAGGGTCTTTGGGACAAACTTTATTCAAGTCTGTATAATCTGTACACATTCTCCACTTCTCGTTCGCCTTCCTTATCAACACCGGGTTATCTAACCATGTAGCATGCTCTATCTCTCTGATAAACCCTGCTTCGAACAACTCCAGTGTCTTTTCTGCGATGGCCTGCCTCCTTTCTAAACAAAATATTCTCTTCTTCTGGGCTACTGGCTTGACGCCTGGAGTCATTGTCAGGCGATGGCAAGACAATGCAGGATCCATTCCAGGCATATCAGAGGGTTTCCACGCAAACAAATCAACATTCTTTTTCAACAACTCCTTCACGCTCGCTGTCTCCCCAGGTTTCAACTCGGAACCTATCTTTGTAAATTGCTGCTGAGATATTCCTAATTGAACTTCTTCCATAGCTCTGGCGGGTTCTGGCCTCTCCCCCTTATCTTCATCTCGGGGATCCATCCCTACTACCATTAGTTGCTCCTCTTTCTTTCCCACCTTGTCTACTTGAATATTTTCCTCTTCCTTTTTTCTTTGCAACTCTATTATTTTTTTCTTCCTTCCTTGCTTGTGGAACTCGTAAACTCATATTATAACAACTCCGAGAAACCACTTGGTCTGCCTTTACTGTAGCCACTGCCCCATCTTTGGCCACAAATTTCATAGCCAACTGATCAATTGATAAAAAGATCTTAAACTTCTTCATGAATGGCCGTCCTAAAATAACATTGTACGCAGAGCCCAAATCTACTACTGCAAACAACAAGGTGACTGTTTTATGCGTGGGTGTGTTGCCCAAAGTTAACCTCAATGGAATATACCCCAACGGCTTAATTTTATCTCCTGTGAAGGCTAACAGCTCAGCCCCACATGGTTCCAGCTGGTCATAATCCAAATCCATTCTTCTGAACGCGTCCCAAAATATAATGTCTACCGAGCTTCCTGGATCTACCAACATTCTATCAACTCGATAGTTTGCTAGCAATCCTAAGATCACTAAAGGATCATCATGCTCTGGGTCCATTATCTCATCATCCAGGTCCTCGAAAACCACTTGCTTGCCCGTCTTTCTTCTTTCCTCTTTGAAACGCAGCTTTTCTGAAATAGCCATGCACATTTTCAAATGTTTTTTCCGGGCATTACCCGACTCTCCTCCACCTGTTCGCCCCCCAGCTATAGTACACATGTGTCCCATCTGAACTTGACTGGTGATGCTTGCTTTTCTTTTTTACCTTTACCAGTCTCCTGGGTTCTTCCTCCAGGCGGGCTCCGACTACGGTCTGGTCGCCTGTATTTATCTTCTTTGCCTCCTTCTCCTTCTCCTCTCCTCACATACTTCTGTAACTTCCCTTCTTTGATCAACCGTTCGATAACATTCTGCAGGTTATAACAGTCGTTTGTAAAATGCCCGTACCACTTATGAAATTCACACCATTTTGTTTTGTCTGTTTGTGCGTAACTCGTCCTAATAGGTGGCGGTCTTGGGACGTTTCTCATCTCAGTAGACATTACTTCCTTCAATATCTGAGCTCGAGATGTGTAATATCCCAGAAAATTGACAGTAATTTATAGTAATAATAAATTAATAATAATAATAATAATAAACTATAAATTAGTAGTAATAATATATATATACATATATGATGATTATATTATAGATAACAAATTATAATATAAATTTTGATAAAATAATTGTGTGCGATATATGTGCGATATGAGTGCTATTGGAAAATAATTTTGAAACTTTGTAATACTCTAGATTATTTATAATAAAATAATATTAATATGTATATATATATATATATATATATATATATATATATATATATATTAGATGATAAATTATGATTAATTGATTGATGATTTATGTATTAATGTTTGATTAGTAATGTTTGATTGGTAATTTGATTAGATATGATGAGTCAATCATGAGTCAGCCTTGAGTTAGCAAATAAGTTAGCTGTATTCTGAGCCATAAAGAAATTAAGAATAAAAAAAATAGTGTATGAAGCCAATATCTGAGCCAGATACATCAATGAGGAATAAAGAAATAATTGCACGAAACCCATATCCGAGCCCAAAACTTCAACTATAAATAGAGGCCTAACCAAACCAAACCAATTCACTCTCAATCCTCAATAATTCTCCACTACTCTTCTTCTCCTCTACACACACTCTCTCTCCTCACTTCAAATTTTTATTTTTATTATTATCTTTCTTTGGTTACCCACCGCTTCTCTTCCCCAAATTGTAGAAGTCACCAAACACGGAGACCAGGTAATCCTAATCCCTAGAGAGTCATAGGTTATATTGATATGAATTTTGATATATGTAATCCTAATCTCTAGGTGTTCTTAGGTTAGTTTTATATGAAATTATTTATATCACGATTCTTAAATTCGAATTATTACATGTGATATTTGGGAAATTTTTATTGGAAAAATAAATGGATATGATTGAATTTTCATATTTTTATGATTGAATAATTATGATAATTGATGTGATGTGATTGTATGAATGACGATGATTAGATTTGGGTTTTACTATGATAAATGTTGAAGATTTGAATTGTTATATCCTTGAATAAATATGGAAGTTATGATGACCTTGAGTAATGGATATATTGAAAGAAGAAATTTTCAATTGTGATATGATGATTGAGTGTGATTGTAAATAATTAATAGTGGGAGGATAGCTTTGGGATGGTACCTCCCAAAGTGATGAACACAACTTTTTGGGCTTTATGCCTTTGATATGTATTTGATATGACACTGATATTTCCGTTCTTCCCAAAGTGGTATCTGGCAACAGTGGTTATTTCTTGGGATACTAGTAGCAACTTTGGGAAGAGGTGTGCACACTAGGATTTGATATTTTGATGATGGCCAAATTTGATGATACGTGGCTGGCAACAATGGTTATTTCCCGGGTCACGGGGTAGACTAGCAACAGGGTTATTTCCCGGGTCTACCATGGTTCTCTTCCCACTAAGTACAATGAATAATTATGGATCTTATTGAATAATTATGAAAATTATGGAATTGTACTACTCTTTAAGAAAAACTTTCCAAATATGTGTTTTAATGATTGAATTTGAATATTTATATTATTAATAACTATGATAATTGATGTGATGAGATTATTTGAATGACGATGATTGGATTTTGATTTTTCTATGATGAATGTTGAAGATTTGAATTATTATATTCTTGAATAAATTGGAAAGTTATGATGAGGATCAGATTTGGATTTTACTGTGATGAATGTTGAAGATTTGAATCATCATATCCTTGAATAAATTGGAAAGTTACGATGATGATCGGATTTGGATTTTACTATGATGGATGTTGAAGATTTGAATTGTTATATAAATTCGAGAATTTATGATAATAGTTGTTTGAATTATGATACTTTGGAAAATTATAATGCCCTTGAGTAACTCATTTAGAGATGATAATACTTAAAGAATAAATAATTATGATTGAATCTTTCCTGATTGTGTGTGTTTGTAATAAATTAAAGGTGGGAGGATAGCTTTGGGATGGTACCTCCAAAGGTGATGAACACAACTTTTGGGCTTTATGCCTCCGATGTGAAACTGATGTGAAAAAGATTGTATCCGTTCTTCCCAAAATGGTATCTGACAGGGTTTCCCGGGATACTAGTAGCAACTTTGGGAAGAGGTGTGCACACTAGGAAGATGTGAATTGATTATGGCCAATGTGATTTGTTTGTGACTGGCAGGGTTTCCCGGGTCTACCATGGTTCTCTTCCCACTAAATATAATGAACTTAAACATTATTAATGAAATTTGTTATTTGATTTGATTATGAAGAATGTCATTGAGTTGTGAATATTATCATATTATGATTAATGTTGTGCTAAATATGTTAGTTGATTATTACCAAATACATTAAATGAACTTAATAAAGATAAATATTATATAATGGAATTTTGATTATTATATTGATATTTGATTTGATTAATGTGGAATTGATTTGAACATTATTTGATATTTGATTTAATTTGTTATTAATTACAATAATTGTATTTTGATTGGGATTACCAGCTTTACTGACTTGTGTTTGTTTGACTGCAATGATCGTGCAACTGCGGGGGAGCAGATTTTCAGTGAAGCATGTTGCAAAGGATGGGGCTAGCTGTGGACAGTGAGGATCACAACTCAGATATTTTTAACTAGTTTCTAAGTTTAGAAATTTATGAGATTTAAATAAATGCATAAGACATATTTCCTTTATTTAAACTTTAGTCTTTTGGTTTTATTTGAATGTAATAGAGTTAGTCTTGCACTTGTCCTTGTACAAGCGCGGCGGTAACATTTCCTAAATTAGATTTAGATTAGCTTCCGCAATATTTCTATTATTATAATTGAAAAAAAAAATGAATTTTGACAATTTATTTATTATAAGATTGTTTTATAAATTGTTAGAAATTTGGGGTGTTACAATATAGTTCTGGCTTAGGTAGTTACTCTAAACGTGGGTGATTATCAATACTATCATGGAATCGTGGTAGGGACCACCTTTGGCTCCCATACGTGGGTTAACTAACTACCCATCCGAATAAGATCCTTCCGGGTCCCGTCGACCGTTATCATTGGCTAGTGTTACCCGGACATATGAACCCGTAACAAATATCAAGTAGGAAACTCATCCTCCTGTAATGGATTCTTTTGTTCTTGCCGATTTGATGTGTCCTATACTTGGGTGTTTTCAGTTTTATTTCTTATGGACCCGAGAATCTATAAACTTGCAGTATTCAATAAAGCAGGCTATTTCCAACAACAAAAAAATCTATTTCATCCTTTTGGACTTGCATAAAAAATGACATTGTCATTTTTGCTATCATTTACAGATACAACAAATCAATCATGTATGAATATAGCACATTTGAGCGTAAGTTTTAGGAAAAATACGACCTCTAGTTTTGCAAAAAGACCACGTACAACACCCATACAACATTCATCAAAAAGGACCAAGCAACACACTTAGAACAATCGCTTCCTGCAGCCTGGGGCTCCACAGTAGCATGGCATTTGCTTTATCTTCCCATTGGAGTCAAAGACACTATCAAGCGCATAGCCATAGTCATATGTCAGCTCCTGCAAGAAATCAAAGAGATTCAAAACATGTGTCAAAGACTTCAGAACAAAACCCCAAAAGAGAAAACACCAGTACACAAGACTCTCAGACTTTCTAGGATTGGGAGTATGCCCACCCTTACACTTCCATTTTCACACTGTGACATCCACTAGTCACATATATAGGGGTGTAAATGGATCAGGTTAGGTCAGGTTTTGACTTTGATAGACTAAACTTATGTAAACATTTAAAACCTACACTGGCCTATTAACCTATTAAAGGCTTGATTTATAAGTCTGGCCTGGCTTATTATAAAAAACATAAAGCAACATGGAATGTAAGACCTACCAAGTTACAAACTAAAGTTTATAGGTTCAAACAAAACTGAAATATAAAAATAACATTTCTTATTCACAAAAATCACATGAAATAATGTTTACATAGATCCCATGAAAATTTTCATAAAGATCACATGAAAGTTTTTTATTCTATGCAAGAATAACCCCCACCCCCAAAAAAATAAATAAATAAATAACGATTTTACTAAACAAAATTAGGTTTTAAGTCTTGATTGACCCATGTAGCTGATCCCACAAAGCAGGACAAGCTGTGGTTATAGTTGTTGTAAATGATATAAAAAAGAAAGAGAATAAAGAAGGTATATCTACTACCCACAAATCCTCCCAAAATCTAATTCATGAATCATCCCAAAAACAATAGGTAACAGAAGGAAGAAAATAAGCATGGCTATAAAATAAATTTCAACAGTCTAAAGTGAGTTGACATAGTTATCACCATAATTATCAATAACAAATATCAGCAAACATGTTAATTTTCGGCCACATCCCCAACCCCAATATGTTAACAACAGCCCCAAGAAGATAAATCGGGGGAATATAGAAAATGAGTTACCTGCAAAGGGGATATATTGTCGGAAGAAAACAACACTACTCGAGCCAATTTCAAATCATGGTGTGTGCTCAAAACACATTGAACAAACAGATTAGGCTCGCAACAATGGTTTATAAACCTAGCAATATTTCCAGTAGATCCTGCATCAATACAAAACTCCGGCACACTTTCAGAACCTTGGTCATCGCATTTGTCCAAAAGATTTGCAGGAACTGCTACATTATTTGACCGCCTCTGTCAAAATTAATGTCACCAAAGAGACGAGAAAAGTTCTAAACATTTAGCAGAAGTAGCTGAGAAAAATATAATCACATGATAAGGTTTCAAAGAATTCAATACCTCTCTTCCACCAAGCCCCTTGATTGTTTGCAAGCAATCTATGTCAAAAATATAATTGTTTTCCAATACACTTTCCATATCTTCCGTCCTAGCAAGTATTCCTGTGTACTCACAAACTGGGGCTCCAGAAGGTATAAAATCCCAAGTTCTAACGGCCCATCCTTTCTTTGCAGTACGGAAAACCTATGTAACAATTTAGTTGAATAAACAAAATTAAAAACTCAGTATAGTTATCTTAATAATCTAAAGATCTTAGGATACCAATACAATGTGCTACCTCCAAACGATATCTAAGTCCTCTTTGAGAAGTTCGGTTCACACAACCAGGACCACAACCACATTTGGGGCCACATTCAAAAACTACATCTTTGGCTTCAACTAACCTGTCAATTTATACATAAAAGCAACCACATCAAATATTACAGCAAACAAAATTTAAATGCCATTTCACCAATCAAGTTTCTAACCTGCCACCATCCCGAGATACATAGGGAAAATCTGAGCCATTAAGCAACGCACATTCACAAGTTTTCGGATCAATACAAAAGCCTTTGCATTTGCACCCAGTAGCATTTTTGGGAACCGTCACATTATTTGCAACCTTGACGGACTTATAATATGTGAAACCTATAATATTTAAAAATCAGACACCAAAGTAAGCACAAAGCAAAATTTAGCTTTCATAATATTTAAAAGTACGATGGTGAACATTATTATATAATCATCACAACATGAATCTGACATAAAAGGACATGAGCAGGTGGATAACAAAAATAATAATAATAATTCCACTTCTCCAAGAAGAAATGAATTTCCATCCAAGCATAAAGAGACAATGATGACTATCAACAAATGTTAGAGGATAAAGGCAGAGTTATTAAAATTTTATGATGACTTTTACTACGCTACCTTCCTTCCAAAGCTACCATAATAATGAGCTAACTCACAAAGTAAATTCAAGAGTAAATATCTACTCAACACATAAGAGAATTAGCATATCTTGGATCAATAATAAAAGATTAAAAATATAAGATATTCTAGCACTGAAATTTTAAATCAACAGCAATTAACGCTTGGACCCACCCAACAACATTCACAGCTTGAAATAAAGTGACAATCAGTGTGTGAATATATATATATATATATATAATTCATCAACCAAAAAAGGGAACGAATCCTCTTATGTGTAAATTTCATATGACCTGATCCAATCTCTACCCCATTTACATCTTTCTACCCCCAAAACCTCCCAAAAAAAAGAATCAATATCTAAACAAGTAAATGGGTAAGAATTAAAGTGTTACAAACCCAATCTAAGAAATCAAATAGCAACAAAATATATGGATGGGCCGTTGCTTTTCCCACAGTTAAGCTATTACGTTCACATGTTTAAACCAGAATTCAACATCCCCATTATTTCACTTTGAAAATATATCAAGTCACTATGTCACAACTACATTACTGTTGGTCAATCCTGAGGAATGTATCATAGCCATAAAAATTTATTTAGCTTCTTCACTTCTCCATTTTCATATATAATGCGTTCTAATTAAATTCCAACCTCTGCTTTATGATAAATTTGTAGTGATTTTACCAAACACAGACAATAAAACAAGAAAACATTTTCTAGATGAAATTAGAACAAATATAATTGAACCTGATTAGTGGTTAATGTAGACTTCCCTTCAAGTCTCCTAAGTCGAAATTTATATACTATAAATCCAGATATTCCCTTTTCTGGCCAATAGTTGACAACCTGCAAAACATGAAAAGAAAGGGCATAAAAGATTTGAAGTATCACCCAAAAATTGGAAGTAAATCATGTCTCCATATTCCATATCAATCTGTTTCACCAGTTAAAAAGTGCAATTTTAGAGACCAGAGTAAATGCACTTACGGTAACAACTAAGAATTCAAATTGCAAGAAATTTAACATCAATGCTAGCTCCTGAAACCAATTGTTTCAGGTGTCAAAATAAATCATGAAAAGAAAGCTTCAATTCCTTTCTCAACAAATTATTACTAATAGATTGCCTTTGATAAACAGTTGGAGAAGAGAAAGAGGGATTTTATCCCAACGACATCAGATGGAAACGATTTGTGGACTTGCTGTTGACAATGTCATTTTCAAGACGAGATTATATATTATATCAATGCAGTATTATGCAAATATATTGGTAAAGAAGAAATAGTCTGTTAGCAGCAGATCCCTAAGTTGCACTAGAATAGATAAACTGAAGAATGCCTCGGGTATTTTGTGAGATTGCCTATAAAATTAAATGAAGAGTTCAATTAAACTTCACTTATACCCCCAATATGATATGGATCAGAATGCT